GTGATGAATTGGGGGGTTCCATGTCCCAAAGTATACTGCAACATAGGACGCTCTTTGACCATTCGGAAAATAGATCAGTGCACCCAGCTAGGGCGAGAAAGGGTGTGTCTCCCAAGTGACGGCGCATACACACCCAAGTGACGGCGCGCGTCTTTTCGCCACTTCAGGCAGAACATGAAGAACCACAGTTGGAATGACTGGAGTGATGACAGGAGCTCCACACCTCTGGCACGAAGAAAGGGAGGAATGTTGGCTGGGTGGTGTAGAACGAGACCTTTCCGGAGTGATTTCCGGCCTTGAAAGAAGGGACCAAACGGCTTTGAAAAGGGGGCCAAGCTTGCGGTGTGTGTCATGGCGCCTGGGAGGGGGATTCTTGTGAGATAGGCAGTCGATTCCACATGGATCTTGATTGAGACAATCTGAGACCCCAGATGATCCAAGCTGTCCAAACCGTCCATTCTTCGACTCCTAGATCCTATGGAGACGTTACAAAGAGAATCTATACCCCAGACATCCCCAGACTTCAATTACCATTAATGGTTCTAACATGTTATAACAGGAAATAAGGTAGACCCGGTGTTGTAGTCTAAAACCGTATCACCATGGTAGACCTGGTGGGCATGCAACCCATTGATGTCAGGCCCCAGTCCGGCCCAGAACTCCCTCCCGGTCGCGTGGAACACGAACCCTTCAGTGTCCATCCGTCGTGGTGTGCTGTCGTCCTACCTCGTTCCGCCGCGCCGGAACTCGTCGACGTTTTCGGCGCGTCGCGACTGGGATTCACCGGGACTCACCAGGAGACCTCAGAAGGGCAAGGCAGGACAGGGCGGGTGGACAGCTGGTGAGAGCGGGTGGGTGAGAGCCGGGTGGATCAGTGCGGTCAGTTGGCCAGGTTTCAGGATGTTCAATGAAGGCGCCAGCACAAGCGGATGGGGGCGGGAAAAGGGGGGGCATGTTCCAGGTCGAAGGATGTTTGATGATGTTTGCGATGCAGAGGGCATGGCGGAACGGCACGTCAGCAAAAGGAGTTCAAGATGGGGACAGTGTTGAAGTCAGTCTTAATAAAAACATAAAGTTGCGTCCATTTTGAGATGGGCTTCAACTTGTTTGGCCCTTTAGTATGTATTTAGATGTATTTATGTATTGTTTGCATCAGAATCAGCTGTTTCTGGCCTTCAAAGAACACACACATAAAAAACCTCTGCAAGATACAAAGGTGCCATACCGCAGCTTTGGCCATACCGCACTATTTCAGCACTTCTGACGTCAAGCCAGCTTGGTCAAAGCTGGGATGCTTTCTGCCGACAGGGCAAAGGCAAGGGCGGCACGCAGTTGGCGATCCGCACGGAGACGAGAAGCAAAGGCCGAGCGACCTAGCGACCTTCGGAGGGGAGGACGACGCGGGACGCGACCGGACTGCCGAGTGGCACGGCCGACCGGGGTGGTTGACTGGGGGTCGACCTTTGGGGCGGCAGTCCAGCCTGGCAGTCCCAGACAGGTCGTGTCTGGGTAAGGGAGTGACCTGCCAGCAGTCGTTCTGTACAAAAATTGGGAAGAGGACCCTTCATGGTCCTTGCACCACTCCATCCTGAGCCTGAGTCCATTTAGACTTATTGATAACATTCCCGGAAATCATCATGGTTTCGTGGACAGAACGTTCACCACCTGTTTGCTCTTCGGATTTCACTCGTCATCCGAACCACTTCGGGGGCCAGGCCACCTGGCCCACTGGTAGTCGACGACGTCTCCGAAATGAAGCTTTGAAAACCCGTTAGAAAGGAAGAATTGAAACTCTTTTGACAAATGGGTCATTCTTCCATCTCAATGAAAACCCTTTTGAACACCCATTGACTCTGCAAAGTCAGAATTGAAAACCCATTTGGCTGAGTCTCATGGCTTGGAAGGGTGTGTGTGTGCTTTTGGGCCTGTTGGCCTGACACCCGCCCCCCCCACAGCGTGTGCTAAGCTGAATAAGATAAAGAATGATAAAGATGAACATACCAAGTTGACTTTTTTCATTGACATGATCAGTCATAGTATGGCAAAACAATGTCAGTCATACTATGGAAAAAAAGAACACGTATGCCATGTATATAGTGCATATACATACACATGACAGAGGTGTATGCATGCCAATCGATCTTCTCCATACCGGCGAACAACTGACCCACAGCTGTCCCCCTCCGAATGAAGGTGCAAAGTTTCTTGCCAACCATCCAAATGTTGTGGACATGTCATCATGTGTGACAAAGATGGCCCCAAACATGCCAAAACTATAGCCATTTGGGATCATTTGGGTCACTTCAAAGGACCAGACGTTGGGAATTGACGTGGCAAAAATCCGGAGGCAAGGGCAAAAGCCGCTGGTGAGAAGGCTGAGTGCTGAGCCCGCGGAGGTGGAGACTGAGCGATCTGGCGGATGGGGGAGCCCCCCTGGCCCTAAAAACGTTGGTGATGTTGGTGTTAAAATGCCAATAAATAAGCTGTCCTATTACATCTAAAGGGTTTGGGTGGATCTTGAAGTAGGGGGACCTTCCTGGCCCTGGCTGGGTAGACTGGTGCATTTCTCCCTTTTTCTAGGGAGTCCAACTGGGAGATCTCCATATTTCATACACACCTATATGTTTATGTTTTTTCCGTGGTCATCAGAGGGTGCCAAGTCATTGCAACGTCGTGTTTCAAGTGTGACAACAATGTGACCATGTGTCTTCGTTTGGAACCCTCAAACTCCAGGGCAACATAGAAACCTTAGGGCTCCAACCATATCCTCAGAAGTTCTCAGAAGGTGGTTAGACCCCCCTGGCCACCCACCCCAACCATCTTCTCGGGAGGTAGTAACATTCTAAAGAGGCCTTTGAAAAGAGATCCATTCTGTCCAGAAACGGCTAAACCCACCCAGCTGCTTTACATCTTTAAAGCTCCGTTTGGACCCCGTTATTTTTCCGCGGTCTGGTCGGAAACCAGTGACAGGTGGAGCTCCGGTGGAGCTCGGGTGGCGCTGAGGGAGTGGGGTTCGGTTCACCCGGCGCTCGGGTGGCGTTTCAACGGTTCCGGAAGGGGGGCCGGAGGGACTCGATGAGTTCCGGCTTCGACGCGGATCACACTGAAACAGAGAGCTACTGTAGTTGTTGCTTGGTGAGAACTCCTCTTAGAACATGGGAGGAACATGGAAGGAACTAAAGAAAAACAAACGGGGATGAATGATGTATACTTATGTGGAGACCCCAACTGGTGTTCTTTGGTGATGCGGTGACATCATTGACACTACGTGTTCTGTGGTGTTCCCAACCTAGTTCAGCTTGGGAACAGCTTGGGAACAGAGCAGAAGAAAGAGATCTTCCCTAGGGCCTTAGGGCTCCTGGCCCATCTCCTCAGGTGCGGTGGGCCGGTGGGTGGGTGGTTAGACTCCCCCAACCCACTCACCCCTGTCCCATCGAACCGCAACGGAGGAGGCGGCCGCACGGAGCGTTCCGTAAGCATCGAAGCGTTCCCAGCGCCGACAGATCCTCCAGGGAGCCCTAAAGGAAGCCCATGTTCCGATCACTTCTTATTTTGGGGTTTGGGGGGAGTGTTCCATCAAGTCTGGAATGTCTTGACTTCTTCACTTGACTCGTTTGGTCCGAAAAGGCGTTCATTCCGGCCCCTTTCCGGAACCCAAAGGGGCCCTGGCATTCTTCGCTGTGGCCGGTCTGAGTGATCAGTGCCGACTTCTCAACATGTGTTTGGAGAAGGTCAACCGAAGACTTGTTTGCACATGTTTGCACCACATAGCGCAGCTGAGCTCGTTTCGGCCAAGATAAGAACCTGCGGCCGTCCTTAAAAGCTTTGCTTGGTGGCAAAACATGTTGGGTTGGAAAGTGCTAGGAAATGCTTTGCAAGATGCAAGATACAACAAGACATAAGAACTGAACATATTGGGACTGTTGATGAACAGTTCAATTTGCACCAGCTGGCGACCATAGGAACCTCCGTTTCTAGAGGTTTGACCAGAACAAGATGAAGCATTCATCGGCACCTCTGAAGTACTTGTGACCATTGGGCTTGCCACAGCCCTGGTGACGGGCGTGCCGACGTTCCATTTTGTTGCGGCTGACGCGTATGAAAAACTGCCGGGCTGTGCACAGGTTTGCTGCCTTTCATTGACTCCACGTAACTATTAGGATCGGCGGAGGGGGCAAATGATATATGATATGATATACGGTAAAATATGCTTGGACTTCTGTTTTGAGGAAACTTTTGGGCCCTCAGGAATGTGTGGTCTATGAGGTGGTTTGCTTCTCCCCTGATTGCAGGCAACTTTGGGAGTGAGGAAGACTGCTAAGGAGCAGGGTCGTGTAGATCTGCACAAGTATCAGATATGATTTTTGAATTGATTTGATATGGAGCAGCTTAACAAGATGACAATGTGTGTATTAACCTTTGCTTTCTAGTCTTAGACATCTATATACTATAATATGTACTACAAGACCGTAACACCAGACCTTATACCAGAGATTTGTGGCTGGCCTTTTGAGGGCCTCAGATGACTCATGCGAACCAGAGACATGGCTGCTCCGGTAGTTGGAACATCAACCCATCCAAACACTCCTGCATGGCCAAGCTGGATCATGGCAACTATCGGATGGTTGTAGCAACATCAATATACCCATTTGGGGGATGAATACCCTTTGGAAGATCATTGCGGCAATGACAGCTCCAGAACCCCAGTTGCGATTCTTTACCTTTCCTCATTGGTAGATGTTAATGTTAAACGTATCCGCTTTGTCATTGGCCCCCCCACTGGGCGGCGGGTGAAAGCTCATTGACACCGTCCCGGACCAAGCGGGAAGAGCACTGACATAGTACCACCGAAAGTACAAGATATTAAATCATAAACCACCTTACAAACAGTTTGAGACCTAATATGATGTGTCTGAATGATCCTGAGTGTACTTTCTACCAAAGTCCACAAGTCACAGGTTGTCACGTTGGCCGCACACATCGGGCCAACCAACTCTGAGGCTTCTGCAGTTGAGGCTGAAGGAGGCAGAGGTGCTGGGCTGGGCCGCCGTAGGCGTCGATGTGGAAAATTCGAAGACATGACGCAGCACTCAGTGCTGCACCCGTATACCACGGGGAAGCTTCACGACAATTCACCATTGTTTGAGGCTCGGACATGTCCAGTTGAGGCTCGGTAGCAACTGAAATCCTGCAAATCTTTACGTATGTCATGCGTGGTGGAGTTCTGGTCACCCTTTGCACCCAGAACTCCGAATGAAGACGGCTGACCCTTGGCGCTTGGTCGACGGATTAGACTGACCGAAGATGTGCATCCAACCTCCCATGGCGTGGTGGGTGGGTCTAGATATTTCGATCCAACCTCCCCATGGTCCGTTCGTTTCGTCGAGCGTTTCGTCAGCGTTAGATGCCGGACCCCCGAAAGCACCCGACGTGCAGGGGGAGTTGAACGACGTCAAAGGCCGCCATCTCAGACGGAGTGCATATATCGATGCATATGGGTAGCTTCAAAGGTCTATGCCGCTTGGTGTTCGGTTGGTTCCGGTGGCCGTTTTTTCCCCAAGCAATCCCCACAACTGAGGACGTGTGCATAAACCGAATAGTGAGGCGGACCACTTCGACGGCAGACGGGAGATTTCAAGTTGGTGAGGGTCATTTCGGGTCACAGTTTGGGGGAATATCCCATGACCAATGTGACTCGCGCGCAAGACCTCGCGCGATGCATGACCAAACCATCACTAAGTGAAGGCCGAAAACAGTGCTACCGAAAAGAGGGGGGACCTGTCCAGCCCTGAGACTCAAAGATCTATGCCTGCGAGCTCTGCATCGAGTGGCAACGAGTGTGGCAGTAATATGCGAACAAAAGTTCTGCTCATTAGTGCCCAAGAATGCTAAATGGAGCACACAGGACCACTTACTGTATATAGCCCAATCGATCAATGGAGTGTCAAAACCACCAAGATTGATGTCAAAGTAAGACCTCTTCAAACCACTCGCTGCCAGGCAGACTGAAACTCAATAACTATATAATATATATATATATAGGGAGCCCCATTGTGAGACAGACCATTTGTCAGCCTTCCATAGAATAGTTCATACATGTTCATAGCCATCCTCATTAGATCTCAGTAGATTAAATTCATTTGGTGAAGGGGTATGGACATGTATGAACTCTTCAATTCATTCATATCCATTCCATGAATTCCATCAATTGCGTTGAACAGAACACCTCATTGGATTCCATGGGTGAAAAAAGGATTTCACATCCCTCGACATCCCTCCACACTGAAGGACCGGAACATGATTCATTCACCTTCCCTTGGCCCGAGCAGCTGAGCTCCATGCACAACTGGGATCAGTGGGCCATGAGCGATTCCCTCTGAGCACTGGTGAAGAGGGGATAGGAAAGAGAGAACATCAGCCAGAGAATCCAAGATGGGAAACACATAGATTTCTTAGACATCATCTGCTTTTAAAGGCTTCTCAAACGCAGCCTTCGTGACCTCCAAAAACGTTCGTTGTGCGTTGCCCCCCGCCCCAACCCCAAACCCAACGTTCGTGACGAGTCGGAGCTCAGTCAACCCAAAACCGAGGCGTCCTAGAAGAGTCGCACCAACGCGGTGGCCTGCGCTTCTTGCAGCAGGCGAGGCCGGAGAGGAGGTTTCGGGTGTCGCGTGCGTCGGGCAGCGTCGCTGCTTTCGCACCGGGTGAGCGGAGCACGGGTGCGGTCCGGAGCAGGGGTGCCTGCTGGAGGGACTGAACAAAAGGCACGCACTTTTGGGGATGGACTGACCCAACAATAGCAGATCCCTGTAAGCTAGCTGACTGCTTTCAACCCGTCAGTGCAAACGGTCAATGTGAATATCAAGGCCACTGACCTGCTCTTTTTGGTCAAGGCCACTGACCTGTCTTTTTGATGCCATGCCGCTTGGGTGTTAGAGATGTTCCATGCCGCTTGACCAAACCATAGCGATCGTTGAGTCGAGTCGCTCATGAAGCAGGAAACCCATGGTCGTCCTTTCTCAAGTCCATGAGCATGAACACGAGCAAGGCGTTGATTCTATAGATCGATATCGTTGGTGGGGTCATTATTAATATTTAGCTTCAACTAGCAAATGGATGTCACGGATGGTCGGCGTTGATGGATAGCCTTGTTGGATCACTCGAGATTCGATCGTGCAGCGCGTCGCGCATCCGCTCGCGTCGCGTACGGATTCCCTGTAGATCCTGTGGGAAGGGAGTGCCATGGAGTGCCGTAGTGCAGACTGTCTGTCTGAACAACCCCCCTGTCTCCATGTTCTAGTTTTACAGCTCGTTCTTTTTGACTCAACCGTCTACATCTTCACGACTCGAACGAATGCACATGAACGACGTCTCGTCGTCGAGCCGTCCGTTCCGTGACACTTGGCTTCGCCCTTTTGGCTCACAGTGTCGAAATTCATCACCGCAATGGCGATGGCCGAGGAGAGGGGGGCGAGGAGAGGGGGTGCTGGACTCGGTGGGATCCACTTCTTTGGAACAACGCAACACACTTGGGAGGTTCTGAAGATATCTTTTCCATGCATCGGATATGATGTTTCCTTGAAGTATATCATATAGGAAATCCCCATGAAGCATCCTGCAGGGAGGATTCTGTTCACTGATGAGCATTTATTTTTGTCAACTCGAAATGACCCTTTTCTCAACTAACAATTCTATAGAGAAGTCACATGAAGTCACAGTTTGTTCGCTGGAGCTCTGACCCTTTGAATCTGACTCCAAACCAGAGCTCTCGACTCTGGACCACGACCAGCACAAGCTATGTCTATGTGAGGTCCCAGGAGTTCCCCCCCGGAGCTCCCCTTAAGCATTCTGAAGCTTTTTTCCAGGAGCTCGTCATGACAGTGTCCGTGCGCTCCCAAAACGTGTGTAGCACAACACGACACAGTGCAATTCTGACATCTTTTTTCTAAGGCTTCGGCTCTCGTGGTTCTAGCCACATGAGGAATCCTTGCTGTCGATTCTCCCCAAACACGAAAGATTCTGCACGGCGAATCTGTTAAGTTTGCCCCCCAGGCGAGCGTACTAGAGAGTAGAGGTCCGGCGAGCTGTAGATCGGGAGTCTCGAGGCATCGAAGAGGCATCGAAGAGTCGGTTCGTCGGTGCATGGGCACGGGCAAAAACAAAAAGGCCACGGAGCGGGGAAGTTAACTTCCGCCGGCCATATATGATGCGCCATATCGTTCAATTTCTGGTGAATGTAAGGAATGCTCTGGGTATTGTGAGTGTGAGGGTCGCCTTTGAAGTGGTGACGAGTGACGCAGCGGATGAATCCTTCACCTGTGCCAGGAGCACTGCAAAGCGAAGGGAGGAGGCACGTACTCGGAGATCTTAAAAAGGGCCTAGCAGAACATTTGCGAGGTTTCCTGGAAATATGTTGAGCAATGTTGAGCAGAAGGAAGCATTTCTGGTTGTGCAGGAAGCATTTCTGCGCCTTTTTTTTTCTCAGTCCCCTGAGACATGTTCAAATGACCTGGAACTGTGCAGTTGAATTCAGAGTTTCAGGGTTTGACTCTGACTCTTCAAGTCCATAGGATTTTATGCCGTTGAAGGGCTTACATCGTTGTGGGACAGGTGCAGTGGCTGTTCTCGAAAAGAAGTGGAGACGACCCATCCAACCCAGACCCATTCTGTGTGTCCAAATGGCGATGGGTCGTTTAACAGACCGACCATGTTGAAATCACCCGACGGTCGTCCACCACGTGCCGCGAACGACACCGGCACCGTGCCAGCCATGAGCCACTTCCGTTCCCGGGCTGAGAACGGTGGGGCGGTTCAGGGGGCTCCTCAAAGATCATGACAGACACTCCCACTCCCACTCCCACTCCCACCAAAGTCTTACCTTGGCTTTCTGATAGGCACATGCTGACGTGAGACGTTGGAAGACTCATGACTCATGAACAAACAATTGGAGGATATTGGAGGTGCCAGTCACTACATGGATGATGGATCAAACATGTGGCCGGCCTCGTCCCTACTCTCTCGTCCCTTCTCTCACCGTCCAGGCGGCACGGACTACCCTGAATATGCCGTGTTGTCTCGAAGCACCTTGGAGGAGGGAGGAACGTCCGAGGAAGTCGGTTCCTTCCTTCATACCTTCGTCCTTTCGGTGGCCCGTTGGGCGCCAGGCGCCCGTGATCGCCCGTTGGTCATCGTTGGTCCGATTTGTCATCCATTGCGATGGGGTCCGATGGGGTACACCAAATGGTACACATGATCGGCGCTGCACTTCTACCTTTTCGGAATTGGGGATCTTTGGCGAGTCAATTTGTAGGCCTTCTTTCGATTGAACTTTGAGACACAAGGAGCCTTTTTGCCAGACGGTACGATCATACTGGCGCTGAAGAACGATGACTGGAAAGACCAAAGTCCTTAAGAGTTCTTCAGCATTCAGGATGATCTTTTATCAGATTTATCCAAAAGAAACCATGGATTGGTATCCTTATGTATCCTTTAAGATCCTTTAAGGATGGAGCAATTTTTTTCGGATGTTGTTCAGCCTGTTTCTGCATGTGTTTGAAGGTCCAGATGATCGCTCCTCTCCTCACTATTTTGGGAGAGGATCTGGACGAAGAACTTAGAAGTGCCGACGGATGAGCACTGCATACGTGGAAAGCACATGGCAAAGAGATCATTCCAAATCTGTGGGTCAAAATGTTCAGCTTCAGTGGACAGATGCGGACAGTACGCTGAAAGCAACGAGCAATCCTATCATGGTTTGGCTACTGCCACTGTATCCAGAAACAAGGGTCTACCTTGCGCCAGTGACCCTAGCAAATGCTGGAGGGTAGATGAAATGGAACCAAATCTTTCAAGCATCCCGCATTCTTTTGATCCAAGACGCGCCACAGGGCTAAAGCTTTTGTCCCATATGTTTTCAGTTACTTGGGGGATTGGCATGGCCTCAGCCCAGAACTACCTTGGTTGATGTCCCAACAGATTTCCCAAGTGCTGCTGTGGGAAGAGCCAACTTCACTCATCGATTTTTAGGTTTGTTCATCGCTGTCGTCTTACCCAGTCAGTCAGTCAGTCAGTCAGTCAGTCAGTCAGTGGATAATAATGTTTAAATAACAAATTTTATCTTTGGTTTCACCAAAATTTGTGTTTTCGGCTTTTCGACCAGAGTGTCGCGGCCTGCCGGGAATATCCTGGTTGACAGATGGAACAGGTGGAAAGTTTGGTTAATCTATTTTACAGGGACCTGGACCGTCCATCGTAGCGACACTCACCGAGCCCGAGCACTCGTTCTTCGTCACAAAACTTCTAAACCACAATCATCTCACGCCCCGAGATACCCCGAGTTCTTATACTAAACACCAGTGACTTAGGATCTGTCTGGAGGTATCCCAAAAATCCATGTCCTATCTCATTTTGGTCCACAACTCCTATCTCATGAAGCCTAGCAGCAAGGCAAAACAGGAACGCTCTCGAGTTAGGACTCTTGCTGCACAACTCAGCACAACGCCTAACACCTTGGATACTCAAAGTCCTAACTCACCAATGGGTAGTATACTTAAACCAACAACTTGAGTGAACACAGTGAACCAACAGCCCAAGTCACAGGTCTTTGGACACCTGTCACTCATCTCTCTCTTTGTCGCCAACGGGCGTCACTCAGGCAGCGAGGCGCTCTGCTGTGCCGTCGACGCGCTGCTCACGGCGCTCGCGTTCGCGTCGCCGGAGGATGTGGGCGCACGCTGGCGAGAGGCGACATGCGTGCGCCCCCGGTGCGTGGGGGTCCAAACAGTTTGGTGAGTGTCAAGAGGTGTCGAGGGTCTGGGAGTTGAAACATCTTAGATATATGAATATGTTTTTCGTTTTAATTGGCAATTCCGTGAGAAGAAGATCTCATTGAGCATTTTATGTATATAACTATATTTGTCTCACATGATGTCTTGTCATTCTTTGGACGGGAGAAGATGATTTAGTCATCCTTACCAGGCAGGGTACCAGGCACTGTTGGAGAGCCCAGTTGAAGGTCCAAAAACCGGGGTAGTTCAGTCGAGCGGGCAAAGGAAACGGTTTAGGTCAAAGGACAAGCGGCAAAGGAAAAGGATCATTTAAGGATCTTGGAACCTTGGTAGGACTCCCCCTTGGAAGGTTTGAAGGTGCTAGGAAGATGCTTGTTTGATCTCAAACAGTTGCTCCTTTTGACTCGATTGCTTTTTTTTCATTTAGCTGATGTGATGTCCTTCCTGACCAGAAGTCTGTGCCACTCCACTTTCTCGGGACCAGTATCAGGACCAGATGGTGTCAACCCGCTCTTGTTCAGCCAATTCTGGGTGATTGGCCAATCCGGTCCGCTCATTGCAGGCATCTGAAAAAGTACTTTTGCAGCATAAGGCTGGCCGGGCTTGGTAGCATTGCGGTCCTTAGGTGTCGCAGGTTTGGTATTAACCTGGTCTTCCAGGGCTTCCCAGGTGGTGGTGGAAGAATTCAATTCTGGTGGATTTGAATTTGAGTGGATCGTTGATCGTTGGGAAGGAGTTTGTGGAAGTGGGATTGCTTAAGGTGATGTATAAATCAAGCTCATCCATTGGAGTTCGGTTTCTCTGCAGGTCGAAAAGACCAATCGCGACTTACCAGAGGTCCTCAACATGTTCG